GTAGTTTTGTTTTTCCTAGGTTCATGAGAAGACTCAGATTTTCCATCAGGTAAAGAAGAATCCACACAGTTCACCTGGTGCGTCTGTGGCTGGACTTCCTGTTAAGTAATGCAAGCTTTTGGTCAATGCTCGTTTGGGATTTTGTAATATAGGCAAAACGCTAGAATAGGTCAACCAATCTCTTATCGTGCCTCGCTCAAAATGTTCAACCATGAAATAAGTGGAGGCTTGGCTCACTTATTAGCCAGCTATCTATGGGAATAAATCTATTTGAAATCACAAGTTAAAAGTATTTTGTCTTATCTAAATCGTTACCCGATTCTTATGAATATTACAAAATTACATTCAGAATCTACACTACATAAACTAAGGAATCACATAACAGTCTTGATGTCATGTGGACAAAGTCCAGATCTGATGTAAACAAATGAAACTCCATTGAAATAAGACTATTTGGACTGACTTCCCCCACATGTAAAATTTAGTCCTACATAGACTCTGGGTGCTCAATTTCCAGCCCGCAGTCCAGATTCCGCGCACAGAGCTGTGGCATCCAGCCTGCAGGACTCCCCATGTGTCTGAAAATTTGGCAGTGGAGGAAACTGGCAGTATTAATTGCTGCTCTCATGCTGCTAAGTTTCCAGATCCATGGGGATTCTACGGGCTGGATATCATGGCCCCTTTGCTAGATCAGGCACATGGGGCTGGGTCAAGATGGCATAGACCCGTGTGCGCCTGGATTGGGCCCTATCTGGGCTCAAAGGGCTCAGTCAAGATGATGTAGGGCTCAACCTCAGCTGCAATCCAGCTTACGGACAGGCCCTGCACCACTCATCTGGCCCACGGGGCCAGAAAGTTGAGCACCACTGCTTTAGATCTCCAGTCTAAAAGATGTAAATCAAATGTTCACATGTAGGTGGCACCCATATGATCAACTACTTAAGTAACATTTTCTTATATAAAACACACACCACTTCCCCAAAACCAGCTGCTGGAAATTGAGGTGCACATTACATGTCAGAAATATGGTAAGAGCAGGTTCTGCCACTTATCTGGTGAAACTGAAAGTAAAATCTGCAGTAATCCATAGGGAGCAGAACAAGGAACAGGCTTGGCTCCCTAATTGCTACTACTCAGTTACTTACTGTAAGGAAACAGGTTTTATTTTCCCTCACTCTGCCTTTCAAAAACAAGGTGTGTATTATATTCTGGGGCATATAGTCTGCAAGAAAATGTGGTAATTAGGCTAGTGGTTCTGGTAACAGTAGAAAGTACTTTGTGATCCAAAACCAAAATTCCATCAAATTCCACTATTGTGGGAGAAATAGAAATATAAAAGGCAACATAAAACAGATCTTCAACTGGTATAAATAGCCATATCTCCACTGAAGCTACGACAACTTTCACCAGCAGATGATCTGCCCTCATAGGAAGTATCATAGGTGTAACAAACAGTTACTGCTCCTATTAATTCCACCTGGACTGTTGAGTGCAGAAGGCTCCCAATATTAAATCATTCTAGAAATAGGAATGTAGTTTCTTCATTAGGGCAAAACTTTCAAGTTGTTCTCTATCCAAATAACATTTACTAACCAAGGTAGAATGCAAATCTCTAAGTACCTGTGGCCCAAACAGATTGGTCTGCTCTTCTAAACTCAATAAGGAGACTGGAGAGCCTTTGACTTCAGAAAGAAGGAGTCCACATGCATTAACCCAGTCAAAACATTCAGTCTGGAAAAAGATAACAGAAAAGACAAATAGCATACGGGACAAAAGGATTTCTCTCTCATTCCTTCTTAAGTAATTCCATCCTTCTGTCCATCTTGGATATTTACCTGGACCCCATCTAGCTTCACGCTATAAAGGAAAAGGAACATATACTTTTCCTAAGCCTTTGAACATGGAACCTTTCACTTGCTAATTCCTTATTCCATATGATTTATTCAACAAGCTGCAGTTTAATTAGGCTCAACAGTCTACTGCCAAGATATTGCTCTGCCAAGAAGAGGGGAGATATCATGTAAACCCCAACCTCTGTTTTTTACCCACAATGCTAGCACAAACCAACAAGCATGGAGGAGGAGCAATCCTTTCAGTCTACTGCTGTAACTACTTGGATGAAATCCAGTGAACAGAGAATGGATGTGCTAATCTTTGGTGTAACAGTGCAGGGAATTACTTAAATTTAAATATGACACAGACATTTAAAATAACGTGCTTTGTGTCTGCAGGGTAAGCAGGAAACTGCTGGTAGGAAAATCCAAAAGCAGAGGATGCTGTGCGGATAGAAGAATTCTTGTGGACAATTCTGGAGCACTGGATTCTTCCTCTGGAGGGCAGAGTCTGCATTCTACAATCGATCTGATCATATTTTAATTAGTTACTGACCAAAAGGAATGAATTTATTCCTGCAATAAACATTTGGTGGCTTATGGTTTATACTTGTGAAGTATGAACGTTCTCCTCTTGTCTGTTGAAACTCCTTCCCAAATCTCTTGTATAAATTAGTTCTTTGCCCCTTCTTTGTCTGGCTCTTACAAAAGGAGATATAGCCAATTCTGAACTGGGTCTGAATTGTACTCTGGGCAGCCAGGAAGCCCTGATTACCGTAATCTTTTCCAACTGCAGTCGCTCATAATCAGCTTCTAAACTCAATTCAGACTGTTTCTTCTGAACTATTGCATCTACTGTCCCCTTGCAGCAGCTGAGGAAACACAAAAGATAACCTACCCTTCAGCAACGGCTTCAAACACCTTTCCTTAATCAGTTGGGATTCTCTAGCAACAAGGCATACTGTCATCAGATACCATGGCTTTTAAAGTAGCAACATGTAAAAATAAAGGAGACCATTCTTTTTGGGTTTTGTTCCATCTAGCATGTTTACCAAGTACTATTTGTTAGAACTCTAATACATCTTAGAAAAAAAGGTGATGGGCCCTGTGACTGTGCTTAATTTTCCTCTATATTTCAGGAGAGCTACTACAACAGCAAACTATTGAGAGAAAAACATGTATTTAGTTTTACTCAGTCGGTCTCTCTCTCTAATATTATTACAGATTCTTTTGTTTGAATTGTTTCACATTTATAGTGCTATATGGGCCACAACACATGGTAGTGCTACAAAAATATAGCACTTTGAGGGATGTCCAAACTTTCAGTAGGTCCCAGCTGAAGCGCTACAGTCACCACAAAGATGCACTCTCTAGTCAGGGGGTGATAAAGGGTTGCTCCTCTGTTCCCCCACCCCCAGGGGAGCATGTCAGTGAGAGCAATCACTGGGAGATGGACTGTCCTCCACTAGGGAAGGGAGACTACCAAACAAGCTATCAGTAATCAGAAGGGACTGCTTGCCCCTGCAGTTCACTAGATCAAGAACTGCAAAATGCAGCTCTGCTTCCTGGCAGCCATCATGGAGCCAGCTGCTCTCCCCACTTCAACCTAGGAGAGGGGGAGGGGGAAGAGGGGGATGGCAGAGCACGGTGGGATAATGTGCAAGATCCCTTGTAGCGCTTGTGCCATTTTTGTAGCGCTACAGGCAGAATGTACACCTGTACATCCTCTTTTTGTAGTGCTACAAGAGTGTATGTAGCTCTACAAATCCAACATCTGCCCATGGCCTTACCCACTTTTGATTAGACCACACCTCCTGCAGGAGACACTCCTGTGCCATCCTCTGGATCATTCCTATTAGAGAAAACCCTATTAGGCTTGTGATGTGTATAGACTGTTAAAATACCTAATTATGTAACTGGAGAATCTGCTAAACTTGGCAACCAGGTTTACAGCTTCTTCTTCTAGCTTACAAGTACTAAACACTTTGAGCTGTCTCTCAGCAGCTTCAGCATCTTCGCTTAGGGGACACTCACTGGACAAGCGGTCAGGTACCATCAATCTCAGCAAATTCACCATCCACATGATCAGAGCTTTGTGGAGTTCAACCACCTGCAAAAACCATCACACTGAAAGGTTAAAGCATGAATAAACAA